TTTTTTTTTTTTTTTTTTTTGTGTGTGTGTTTGTGTGTATTCTCATGTTCGTTACAGACAACTTCATCAAAAGAGAGCACGAGTGTGCCAGACTGTGTTCCGTCGGACATTTTCACGGACTCATCCGCCGGAGGTTGAGGTGCGCGTGCTGAGGGGGCGAAGGAAGGGTGGGTGTTTGATGGATGGTGGGTGGGATCTGTGTGCATTTGCGAGTGAGTGCGGGAGACTTCAGCAAGCAGTTTGCAGCTGATTAGTCTTTCGAGAAGTTGGATCTGGATCTCATGCTTTTCAGAGCAGAGATGATGAGAGGATGTGGCACGGCCGCTGATTGGGTATCCGATTGGACGAGGGCTTTGCTGGGGTGGAATTGGACTTTGGGAACGGAATAGAGGAAGGTGAACTTCCTGGAAATGGAAGGGGGTTAAGGATATATAGGGGAGAGAGTGTGAATGTGTGTGAATAAAAGGCGCGTTTTGCGAGGCCATCGTGAAATGCTTTCGATAATTAACCTCTTTATCATTGTAGATTCTGCCGAGAACCCCCGACTCTTTTGTTGAGACCTCCAGTTCAGTTTTAGGATGACACATTGGTCTGATCTTTTCGAAATGCACGACTGGAATGTTGGCCACTGCAGCCATCACGATTGCACTCTGGGGTTATATCGGTGGTAGTCGGCTTGATGGCCTTCTCACGTAGTTTAGACTCTAGAGTAACTTAGGAAAAAAAAATGGGAAAGACCTCTCATCCTCAAACTGGACGTCAGCAATTTCTGCCATGATTGGCCACTTGCAGCACGATTGCGTACTGGGCTACGGGTGGTAGTCGGCATTTCCCAGCTGTTCTGGGCGCAGGGAGGTGGGAGGTGGAGATGGAGTGGGATACGGGTGGGGTAGTCGACATTTTCCCAGCTGTTCTAGGCGCAGGGAGGTGGGAGGTGGGAGGTGGAGATGGAGGTAGTGCTCCTCTCCCTCCCTACGTAGGTCCAGAAATCATCACGTCTGGCTGGCGCGCTGGCGTTTCCTTGAGTCTACGTCGGTTCCGAGAGGTAGAGTAGTTTTCTCGATTTGGAGTCTTTCTCTGCTTGACGTGTAGATGCCCGCGGCCATAGTTGTTAGTCAGTGGGCGCTTGCGCGAGTTCGTGCGCGTCCCTGGGGACGCCTGTGCGCGTTCGCGCCTGCCGCGTGCATGTGCGTCTGTTGTCGGTGTGAGTGGGGAGGGTGGGGGGTGGGGGGTTGGGGGTGGGAGGTGGTGGGGTCGGTTGCTCGCCTATTTAGTGTATTATCAGATGAAGAAAACGTGTGCATTTGTCCATGGAGTCTCCAAGCAAATAGCAGCAGACCATGGGAGAGAGCGTTTGCGAACCAGCGCCTTCTTTGAAAGGACGTTGAATTCTCTGCGAACTGTCACAAACCGTCTTTATACTCTGTCGTGAGCGGTCTGGGAGCACTCCACTCTGCTTGACAAGTAGCTCGTCAATCATTTGGTAGAGGAGGAGGAGATCTTTTTTCTCCGTCTGTCCTTTTTGCTCCTAGCCATCTGGGGGATAGGATTCTTTTTTTTTTTTTTTTTTTTTTTCTTTTTCGAGGATAGGATTTTTGATTGGGTCTCAATTTTTTTTTTTTTTTTTTGCTGTCACTTTAGTATTTTCTGATCTTACCTTTGGAGGAATGTTGAATGTATATACACAAAAAAAGGTATTTGGAGTAATGTTCTACGTTGGTTATGTACCTATCTCCCCGAGTTTGTCCATAAGGAGGGGGGGCCGTATTTCGTCCTGACCCGATGGTCGCCCTCAAGCTGTCGCGGCTGCCTACCGTGTTCCCCCGAATACAAGGTACGGTCAGGTCATTATCGTGTCGTTGTATCTGGACTTAATACAGTAAGTTACCCCATACATACAGTTAGAATGACAGGGCGTTCTATTCGAGTGACAGGGCGTTCTATTCGAGTGAAGACAGTGGCCATCTCTCGGTCATGGTCACTGATGGCTTTTGAGTTTTAAGCCAGAATAGAAAAGAGAAAAGAGGAAGGAAAAAAAAAAAAAAAGAGGAAAAGAAAACAAGGAGAGCGTTTCAAAAAAAAAAAAAAAAAAAAAAA